AAGTGGAGGGTGGGGTATAAACCCAATCTCTTCTTCTTCTTCTTTTACCTCACAGGGTGTCTGTTGTAGGGAGGGGACGGGAAGGGAAAGGAGTTTGTAAGCCGCTCTGAGACTCCTTTGGGTAGTGAAGGGCGGGGTATAAATCCAATCTCTTCTTCTTCTAGTATCTGGGAGATCCAGGTTCAGATTTGTACTTGTGCCATGGAAGCTCACTGGGTGACCTTGGGCGAGTCATACTCTCTCAGCATAATTTATCTGACTAGGTTGTTGTGAGTATAAAAGAGTGGAGAGGAGGAGGAGGATGTAAGCCACTTTGGATAGCCATTGGGGAGGAAAGCGGGGTATAAATGAACTACGTAAGTAAGAAAACCACTAGAGAGGGAACTCTACCTAGACTGCCACTCGGAAGTGTAAGGGCGTTGTGCTGGAAGCAAAAACCCGGAAAGTCCTGTATTTATTTAAAAGACATGCACACAGAGCTCCTTGGATTGCAGCATATGACCGTAGTGAGAATAATTTCAATCATCAGAGTTCAGAAAAGAAGATCTGGTGGAGGCTGTGTCAGGCTTGTGTGTTGGAACACCCTAGGCTGTTAGTCCTGGGTGATTTCAACGTCCATGCCAACGATGCGGCCTCCTCCCGGGCGGTGGACCTGGCATTGTCCATGGCGGTACTGGGACTCTCCCAATATGTAATGGCCCCCATTCATCAGGCCGGTCACACGCTTGATTTGATCTTTGCGGTGGGGGTTACAGTGGACCGGATTACTGCTACGGCAGTTCCATGGTTGGACCACCATGCCCTGAGGGCCCGAGTGAACTTGTCACCCCAACCCTGTTTGGGTGGTGAATGGATTTTGGCTCACCCGCAGAGCCTAATGGACCTACTACGGATTCAGAGGGCTCTCCGGGATCCATTGCCCCCTGGCGGCTCGTTAGATGAAGTGGTCGAGGACTGGCATAGCCGACTCTCGGCGGCCATCAACGAGATCACTCTCAGACGCCCTCTGCGCCCTCACTCAAGGCTGGCTCCTTGGTATACCCAGGAGCTGAGGCTGATGAAGTGAAGGCTCAGACAGCTAGAGAGACACTGGTGGCGGGCTCGCAACGAAGCGTCAAGAGCATCCTATCGAACGTTTATGAAGTCATATGAGATGGCAACCAAGGCTGCGAAGAAGGAGTTCTACGCAGCCACGATTGCGTCTGCAAGCTCGCACCCGGCACAATTGTATAGAACGATTCGATCTCTAACTACTCTGCCACAGAGCAGTCAAAACATCAGGGAATTGGATATAGGCTGTGAGGCTTTTGCGAGCTGTTTTGCAGATAAAGTCTTGCTGCTCCGCTGCGACCTCCCGGCCACACTTGAGACAGTATGTGAACTCGAGGCTCCATGCACATCTTCTGGTCCCATTCTGGATTATTTCAGCCCTCTCAGCCTAGAGGAAGTTGACAGATTGATCTCAACCGTACGTCCAACCACATGCAGCCTTGATCCGTGCCCCTCCTAGCTAATTAAAGCTGGCCGCGAGGGGTTTTGAGGCACCCTTAGGGATGTTACTTTTCTCTGTACTCTAAAGGTATGATGGGTGAGAGGTTACAAAAAGCCTTTAAGTCTGGCTGTTCTGTGTCTGATTATACTCCATTCCAAAGATGTCTGGATCATTTCCTTTTCTTGCCTGTAACTTTAAGATGAGTTAGGGAACAGTGCCATCTAAAGCAGGTCTTCTCAAAAACCTTTTACTCCTAAGTAAGCTGTGATGTAAATGTAACTAACAATAGTAAGTAAAGATACTTCCTTGACATTTCTGTCATGTTCTTAAGTATTATCAGTCATTCAAGGGTACAGCAAATTAATAATGACAAACTCCAAACCAAGGGTGATTGCTGTAAGAAGTTCACACATACATAGAACAAAGGAAAAATTTCCTGAAGCTGTAATAATTTTCTTCTTTATTCCATAGGTGAATTTAGGTGAAATTGACGAACATCTCGAGTTTTGCAAGTTCGTTTCTGAATCTTTGTCAAAATTCGGTGTCAAAATGTTTTTTTCTCACGTAACAATCCCATTTGTATCTGTATAGACCTCGTTCTCGTGCTGTCTATGAGTAGCTCTACTAAACACAATTCATATCTTCAAAGACGGACAGTGTCTTGACAACTTACAATGTGTTCCATTTAAAGTTCAAAGGTCATGGCTGCTGGCACAGAAAGAGAATAAGGGTTTGTGAATGTGCATATCTGGCAGGGTTTGTTTTACAGTGTCTCCGGTTTTTAGTTACCCAGTGCAGATCATTAGGTAGTTTAAGGACACATACAGATAGACAGAGTGCATGTAATCTGTCATTTGGAATCCATAAAACCAATCCGTTTCAAAAGGTCCTCCTGAGAAAGCACATCTTTAATTTCTGATGGAAAACCAAAACAGATGGTGGCGATCATTCCTCCATGGAAACAGAGTTCTGCAGTCTGAGTGCCACAACTCTGAAAAAGTCCCTCAAAGGTCGCCACCACCATTACACCTTTAAGCAAGGTCCTATGAATTTAGCAACCAGAGAAGAAGAGAAGAGATTGGATTTATACCCCGCCCTTCACTACCCAAAGGTGTGTCAGAGTGGCTTACAAACTCCTTTCCCTTCCCCCTCCCCACCACAGACACCCTGTGAGGTAGAAGAAGAAGAAGAAGAAGAAAACATTGGATTTTCTGCAGGGTTTTTAATAATCTGCACGTCTTATTTATGTGTGGTAAGCTTTCTCCCAGCCCGCCCTACGACTTCATAGGTTGCTGATTTTATAAGGTCACTGTCAATCTAGTAGTGCTCTTCCTAAGTAAGCATTGTGATTTCATCTTTTCAGACTCCCACCCCCAGTTCTATCCCCTCCCTCCCCCTACTAATCAAGCCATACATTTATTTATGTATTTATTAATTAAAAGTAAATTAATAATACAACCCCCAAATTTCTTCCCCTCCCCACTAAAAAGATGCCTGCCAATTCAGACTCCCCTCAAAAGCCATGGCAAACAGGTAGGGTTGCCATGTCCTACCTTAAAAATAGCAGGGGAGTCCTGCGCCCCGTCCGGGAGATCCTTCCCGCACACGCCACAATGACATCGCCTGGAAGTGACATCACAGTGGGCACATCACCGGGCGACGCTCTAGCAATCAGTCTAAAAACTCTATGGTATCATAGAGTTTTCAGGCAGATTGCTAGAGAGTCGAAAAAACGTGATGACGTCAATTCCGGGTGACGTCATCGTGCCAGGCATGTTGGCCCGATCTGGCCACTTTGGGGGTGGGGTTCCCCCCGCCGGCTGGATCCGGACTGGCGGGTCGGGGGCCCTTTCGGTGGGAAAACCTCCCCCCCCAGGGGACCTGGCAGCCCTACAAACAGGCAGACCCTGCTGCACCTCCTGAAGATCTCCAGTGTGGGACGGTCCACCTCTTCAGGGAGCCCATTCCAGGGAGCCAGATCCACAATAGGAAAGGCCCAAGCTCTGGTCGATGCCAGACAGACTACCCTAAGCAGCAGGCTAGCCAACAGATGGCTGCCCGGTGGCCATAGTCAGTGCACAAGGGCATATGGAAGGAGATGGTCCTTCAAAAAAAACAAGACATCAAGTTTTGGCTGTCTGCATTTGCAGAAATACTGTGAATTTAGCAGAAAATAGATAATAACAAGAAAGGGGACCTGCGAAAATCGCGGGGGGGGGGCACCCCGGGGCTGGCGCCTGGCGCCACACAGAACCCCGCCCCTGCCTCCAGCTGCGCCCCAGGTGAGCTAGACGCCCGCGGCACAGCTGCCTGGCTCAGCGGGAAGTGCAAAGAATCCTGGGGGTTGTAGTCCCCCACCCCCACCCCCAAAAAACTCAAGCATCCGCCACCTCACCTTCATCAACCCAAGGAGCGAGAGACCCTCTCCACCCGTTAAGACCACAACTTCCAAGATGCTTTTCCTCTCACCATCACATCCGCTTTCCCCCCCCCGCTCACCTTCGCCAGGCCCTCTGGGTCTTGTAGTCTCCCTTTGGTATTCACGACGGCCTTTACGCCGTCGGAGGCGGCCGCCGCCGGGGAGGCTGCACCACGCGAATGGCATAAGGGGCCGGCTTCTGGACTCCCGAGTGGTCGGCGCTGCGGAGGGGGTAGGTTCTTTGACTCCGCTTCAGGGGGAGGAGCAGGGGGCGGCGGGCTGAGGCAGAAAAGGAAGCTGGGAGGGCTGAGGCTGCTGGTTCCCCCCCCCGGCCCCAAAGCGAGGGCCGCGCAGCTTGCCGCGCGGCCCTCGCTGCTTGCAGAGCGTTCCCTGCGCATGCGCAGGGGATGCTCTGTCAGTTTCGGGGGGAATTAAGTATCCCCACGATAGTTTTTGTTAGGTTTAGGATTTTTGTGCACACCTGGGGACCGTCCCAAGTGTGCACAAAAATCCCCCTCCCCCCCCAGTGCGCGGATTTAGATATACGCACACACGGGGGCGACTTGGGAATTAGATATATAGATCTTGATGACAGTGACATCAAGTAAATGCAATAAAACACCCTGTGAGCAGTCAAAATTACACTTCCTTAGTTCGTACACAAACGTCCGATAGCTATCAGTTGATGTTAAAGCTTGTTATATGAATGATGCTATTAATCCATATGAGTAACTGTTTTCATACTATTCAGCACAATTTCCAATGGATGTTACCTATATAATGTTCCGTAAATGTTTTGTGATCAGTACATGGATAGCTATGGATGTACATGGGAATTCATTCCTGGGCAATTTGGGCATTGCTGACAGAAGCCCAAAGGAAGATAGTGGATACTGAAGCATGAGTGTCCTTTCAGGGCTGCCATCTTGTGGGCCTCACAAGTGCTGTTGCACAGGGCTAAGTTCTCTCCTGCCATGTTCTTACGAAAATATAGGAAATTCTGTTTGAGAACCAGAACTTTCAAGGAAATTGAGGCGACGAAGAAGTCTGTAACTGAAATCTACTTCTGTGTCTCTATTTTGTATTTAGTATTCTCAGAGAAGATGTCAACAGAGTTACCATTAGACATCAATATCAAAGAACCTCGCTGGGTTCAAAACACATTTATTGGACGAGCCAGCCATTTCTTCACTGTAACGGATCCCAGGAATATTTTGCTATCCAATGAACAATTAGAAAACTCAAGAAAAATTGTGCATGATTACAGGTATGGATTTGATTTTTATACTTGCCCTATCTCAAGGGTTCAGGATAAAACCAACAATAAAACAGCCACAGAAGAAATGGTATCCGGGCTTCAAGGAAGAAGTTTTCTGCTGGGGTTTCAAGGGAGGAGTACTATCCAGTTGCGATGGAACTGGTAAAAAGGTTTCCCCATGATAATGGTGAACAGGCATGGTATAGCAAAAACTGTGCTGTCCATTGATCTTGGAGGTAAATATGGAGTGAGCAGTGTTAAGTGTGTATGTGTGTGTAATCATGCACATGGTCAGTAGCATGAATTATAGCCAGAAAGCTAATTTCCCAGGATTCATCCCTCTTCAGGGCCTGTCACTCCCATACTTATTTATTTTATTATTCATTTAGACATTTATACCCCACTTTCCTCCACAGTGGGGACCAGTGTTCCCTCTAAGCTGAGTTACTGTGAGCCAGGCTCACAGTTTTTTAGCCTCCGGCTCACACATTTTTGACTCAGCTCAGGAAGGAGGTGGCTCCAGAGCAGACTAATTGATGCAGGAGCCAAATCACTCGCTCACAGCTTTGATGCCAGTAGCTCACAAAGCAGAATTTTTGCTCACAAGGCTCCACAGCTTAGAGGGAGCATTGGTGGGGACCCAAAGCAGCCTACAGCATTTATCCAGTACTAATGGCTGGGAGAAAGTGAGTGACTCAGGGTCAGTCAGCAACCTTCCAGGGCAGAGTGGGGATCCGACCCTGACTCTCAGATTCTACTTCAACCACTATACCATGCTGGCTACATAACCGTAGTGTTCCAGTTCTTTAACGATGGGAGAAGCAACTCAGATATTTCTATCCACATGGTTCAGTAATGCGTGGAAGGCATACCAGTAAAGTTGCAAGTGCATTACATGCTAGCTGTAAAGCAGGGGTGTCAAACTCATTTCTTATGAGGACCGGATCTGACATAAATGAGATCTTGTCGGGCCGGGCCATGTATGTCATAAAATGTAATGCCAGGTAGCGGAGATACAAACTTTATAAAGGACACAAACACAAAGGGTGATGGGTTTTTTAAAAACTTAAAATAAAAACATGCTTAAAACATTAGCTCTGTAAGCTGCAAGCCTACGTTTGATTTATTGACATTCACCACAGAAATCTCACGCTCAGAGTTCTGAGTCTAGGACCCAGGTTAAAACATGAAATGGCCGAGTGATTTAAGAGAGTCTGGCGAAGCAACCTGTGATGCAGCAGCAGCAGAACTGGAAGCAGGAGATGGCCAGTTCCACTGCAGGCCTGATGGAAGCCCTCCGGGGGCCTGATCCGGCCCCTGGGCCACATGTTTGACACCCCTGCTCTAAAGAGTTATTGGCAACAAGGAAGGAAGTGTGGAAAGGCAGAACAGGAATTGTGAGTATGTGGTAGTCTCCCAACATTTTGGATTGGAAAATGAAGAGGGACTGTTATATAAATTACGGTAGTGTTGCTTATTTTCTCCAAATGAACATGCACATGCATCAGCTGCTTACATAGGATCTGTGCAGCCATTTCTGTGGTTGTAAATGCCTTTCTCAAATCACCATGATCCCATTTATGGGACCATGGTGGTTTGAGAAAGGCATTTACAACTATAGAAATGGCTGCAGAGGTCCTCATATAAGCAGCTGGTTCTCAAGACTTTCTCCATGTTTACACAATCGTGTGGAAAAAAATATGTGCAACTTTTGTTTGTAAACTGTGCCTTAATTTTCTTACTTATGTACCCCAGTGTCATAGTTGTTGTCAGGGCTTTTTTTGTAGAAAAAGCCCAGCAGGAACTCATTAGCATATTAGGCCACACCCCCATGTTACCAGAAGTGTGGTCATCCAGCCACGCCCATCTTTCCCTTCTTATTCTGTTGACCTTGTTTGTGGTCAAAACCCAGGGCTTTTTTTGTAGCAGGAACTCCTTTGCATGTTAAGCCACACACCCCTAATGTAGCCAATCCTAATGAGTTTCTGCTGTTGGGTGTGGCCTGTTATGCTAATGAGTTCCTGCTGGGCGTGGCCAACTCGGGAGCCAGCCGGAACTCCGTTCTTGTGCGTTCCTGCCCCAAAATAGCCCTGGTTGTTGTTAATAGTTGTATATATTTCTGTTTATCCCAAGGCAGGGTATCGTGTCCTCTGGACTGACAGAAGATGAATTATGGAGGGCAAAATATATCTATGATTCAGCCTTCCATCCAGATACTGGTGAAAAGATGGTTTTGATTGGCCGAATGTCTGCTCAGGTGCCTATGAACATGACTATCACTGGCTGCATGATGACCTTTTATAAGTAAGCAGTAAAAACTGAGCACAGAATTACACTGCCGTCCTAAAATCTAGTTATGAGCCTCTTGTCCCATTAAAGTCAGTGGGAATTGATACTATAAATGGTTTCGGTACTGTAGGGCAATTAAGCAATATTAATTTGAATGCTTTATATATAAAACAATTAAAATTGAGATTTTGCGGGGTGGGTTTCTACGTTTTTATCATCTGTGTGGATTATAAATTTACCATAGACTTATATGTAGTGCGGGATTTCTATCCCCTTATAACCATCTCTCAAATAAAATCCTGCTTTTCCTCATCACCATGAAGAAGTTCAACTTGGGAATTTTAAATTTTATAGATACCTTATGTGGCATGTTTAAAGCAAAGCATCAAATCTCCCTTTGTCTGTCTATCATATTTTATATTATCTTTGCATATAATTATAGGAATTAGGTTTTCCCTTGAAGAAAGCAAAACCAAAGCAGCCTGATTGTAAACTAAAGTTTTATTAACCTCAGAGTTATCAGTATTTAAATCACAACTGGAAATGTTTGCATTAAATAGGTCTGTCAAGTAATAGTGAGTATAGTAGAGAAATCAATGGAGGAATTCCAGCATTTTAGTACTAGAGATGAATCTAAAATGATGCTTGCTCACTCACTATTAAAACACTTTCCCTTTTTAACTTGTATTTTTTTTGTGCAGTAAAATTTCCCTTTTTAACTTGTATTTTTTTTGTGCAGTAAAATTATAATTTGTGAACGATGAGATGTCATATTTGATATTTTAAAATTAGTTTGCTTGACTCTGAAGTGCCTACACTTCCATAAAGAACTTTTCCGCTCATCATAGAATCATAGAATGATAGAGTTGGAAGGGATCTTGCAGGTCATCTAGTCCAACCCCCTGCACTCTGCAGGAGCATAGCCGAAAGATAGCCCTACAATGTACCCGAAAGATGGTCGTCCAGCCTCCGCTTGAAAACGTCCAGCGAAGGAGCATCCACCACCTCCCAAGGCAGTCTGTTCCACTGCTCAACCACTCTTCCAGTTAGGAAGTTTATTATATTATGCTCTACTGATTATTGTATATGTATCTGCATATGTATCTTAATCCTTGAATCTTCCAACTAGCTGATGTAGCACAGAATAATTTTTCTTATCAAGCATTGACATTTGGTTGTAGAGTGAGGGGAAATAATCTAACTTTCTTGTTTTAAGAACTACCCCAGCTGTGGTCTTCTGGCAGTGGATTAACCAGTCATTCAATGCCATTGTAAACTATACCAATAGGAGTGGAGATGCTCCAATAACTGTCAGGTAAAGTACTGAAAGATAGCTCAGACACCACGTCCGGATATGTGTATTCAATTATTTCTTTAGTTTAGATAGAGTTCGGTAATAGATGTAAGTAGTCACAGACAGTGTTCCCTCTAAGCTGAGTTAGTGTGAGCTAGCTCACAGTTTTTTAGCCTCCGGCTCACACGTTTTTGTCTTACCTCAGGAAGGAGGGCTCCAGAGCAAACTAATTGATGCAGTAGCCCAATCGCTCGCTCACAACTTTAATGCCGGCAGCTCACAAAGTAGAATTGCTGCTCACAAGACTCCACCGCTTAGAGGGAGCATTGGTCACAGAAGATTGTTAAATGTTTTGCATACAGAATGGCTATAAATTAAAATACATTCTAATTATTAGAGTTTCCTGGCAATGACATAGTCGCGATGAGAACCAGGGTATTCCATTATGCTGGTGGAATGACCACTGCCTAACAGAATCTTCCCCAGAAAGTGAAGAATGGGATGAGGGTGGTAACTGGCTGTGGTGACTGGCATGATGCTGTAGATTTTGAGCAGGGGCCAGGCAGTCACAGGTTTGAGAGAGCCCTGTTCTTCTGAGGGTGCTTGCCGTGGGCAGCATAAATCCTCCTCCTCATGAACGGCTTTCAATAACTATAATAGTGACAGGTGACAGACTGCCAAGTTTAGATTTTTATTAAATTTGCAATGTGGTCTTTCTTAGAATTGCTTGACATGACAACATGTAAACACAAGGTAAAATACAATGGGAAATAGAAATGTCTCTAATCTAATATCAGTAAACCTATCTGTGTGTGTGTGTGTGTGTGTGTGTAGCACGTTTCGAGTGCTTAAATCACTTCTCATACATAATCTCAGTAGGACACATAATGCATGACTCCCAAGTTACTTCTCTCCGGTACTAAAAGTGCAGGCTAAAAAAAATAAACTTTGCATGCTGATAATCACACTTAGTTCTGTAGTTTAAACAACTAATTAGGCCATGAATGAGTTCTGGCCGTTAACTGTGGAGGGTGCTGGGTGGGAATCAAAACACTTCAAACCTGCGTGTATGAGGAATGCTTATCGCCTTGGGCATTTCTGATGACGTAGACCATAAGGATGAATAATCTAGTCAAGTGTCTGAAAAAGTGTCTAGAAAAAGAGAGCTAGTGGAAACAAAGGAAACAAAGCTAGAGGAAACAAAGGAGAGCTAGAGGAAACATAGATGACATGGAGAAAACATAGGAGCTGTTTGTTAAATAGAGGACAGGTAAGCCCATAGACAGATAAGTTCCCAGTGGAGCTGATCACCGTAGGGCCATTCAGTGTGCTTGGCATGCTAAGGCTACACTCGAAGGGGGTGGGGGGGATCATGACTACATAAAAGAGAATCTTTGTAGCCTCTTCATCCTTCCAGTTACTATGTTAGATCTAGGTCAGGGCTGAGGGCATAGTCTGAAGGCTTGTAATGGCGCTTAGTTCTTCATTAAGTTGCTACAGGTCTGTGGGTACTCAGTGCTACCTAAGAGACCACCTGAGAACCCTACATCCCCTATGTTGAGTTCCATGAAAAAGAGAGGAGATATAAATATAAGGGCTCTTTTTGTAGCAGGAACTCTTTTGCATATTAGGCCACACACCCCTAATGTAGCCAATCCTCCAAGAGCTTACAGAGCTCTTCTTACAGGAGCTACTGTAAGCTCTTGGAGGATTGGCTACGTTAGGGGTGTGTGGCCTAATATGCAAAGGAGTTCCTGCTACAAAAAAAGCCCTAATTATAATTATTCCTGTCTTCTTCCAAGTGATATATCTGTCACCTTGTGGATCTAGACTACTCTGTTCCTGTGGAAGCCAAAACGTTTTAAGGCTCCTGACATTGCTGCAGGCATTTTAAAAATTAGGGGCGCAGAGAGAAAAGCTTCTTGGGGCTAGTTTTTAGCCGCCGCCTCCCTTGCATCTTTTGGCCTAATGTGCAATCCCTGTCTTTGTGTTTTCAATTTTTCTATAAATTCTGTTTTGCAAAATAAATGTATCAGAAGAAGAGCAGAAAGAGCTGGTTTTTAAACCCCACTTTTCCTCTACCATAAGGAGGCTCAAACCAGCTTACAGTTGCTTTCCTTCCTCTCCTTACAACAGGCACCTTGAGAGGTAGGTGGAGCTGAAAGAGTTCGGAGAGAACTGGGACTGACCCATGGTCACCCAGCTGGCTTCATGTTGGAGGAGTGGTGAATCAAACCTGGTTCTCCAGATTAGAGTCCACCACTCTTAACCACTACACCATGCTGGCTCTCAGTAGTATACCATTCTCGCAACATTGACCCAAAAAAAAGAACATAATGCTAATTCAAACATATAACATCAAAGAGAAAAAGACTAGTCTGATGCTACTCCTGTCCTTTTTGTGGAAAGAAGTTATTTTGAACTCAGTCCCCTGCCCCAAGGGCAGTCTGTCCATGCAGCAACCATAGATGAACCTGCATAGTCCGCACAGCTGAGTCACTATGTAAACTGAGTCAGCAAGTGAAGTGCTCCAGATTGGTCAAGGAAGCCAGCCACATACTACAGAGATCCTGAGTGAACACCCAGCTGTATAAAGAAACCTGACTGTCAGACTATTGGTCTATTTAGCAAGTATGAGGGGTCATTTCGTAGAAAAAGAGCTGCAGGAGCTCATTAGCATACCTAATAGACTATTAGCATAATAGCTCATTAGCATATGCTGTGCCCCCTGACATCACCGGAAGTGATGTCAGAAGGGGAAGCAAAAGGGGGGGAGGCATCTTCAAAAGTCTCCCTTTCCCTTCCCCAGGCGGGCTGGGGGGGGGAGCAAAGAGGGAAGGGGTTTGAAGTTTAAATCCCTTCTCTCTAGAGTCGCGCCGCAGTGGCGGTGCGATCTTTCCATTATATTCTATGGGGCCATAGAATACAATGGAAAGATTGCACCACTGCTGTGGTGGAACTCTAGAGAGGGGGAGCTGGGGGCAGGGCTTGCCGCCACCACCATTTGTGCGTACTTCTGGGCTGCCGGAGCAGTGCTCCGGCGTGCTCCGGCCCCAAATGACCCCTGGTGAGTACCCTGTTTCCCCGAAAATAAGACCTACCCAAAAAATAAGCCCTAGCAGGATTTCTATGCATTTGTGGTATAAGCCCTAGTGTGTCTTCTTGAGAAAATATAAATATAAGACAGTGTCTTATTTTCGGGGAAACACGGTATTAGTATCCCTAAAATCTGCTCCTCAGTGCTGGAGAGCCATCAGTTATATTGTGAAATGGGAGGTTACAGGAAAGTCCATTTCTACTGGATCACTCAACCCAATGCCTTTATTGGGTCATCTCAGATGTAGCTTTGTCAGGATGCAAGTGTTATGGCAGTCCTTAGGCCCTGATTCAGGAAACCCAAGACCACAAGGGAGATTTTTGACCAGTGGAAGTCCTAGCTTTGTATACTTGTGATAGTTTGTTGCTCAGCCAAAAAAAGAAATGTGTTTCAGTACTGTGCAAATTTGTGATTATAAGATCTGAAAATAATTGATATTTAACATACATTATTGCTGTGCACACGCAAACATTTTTATTTTTGTTTTAGCCAGCTGGGAACAGCCTATGTTTCTGCCACCACAGGTGCTGTTGCCACCGCTCTAGGACTTAATGCTCTAACAAAGGTATTTCTGTGCTTTCTCTTTTTTTAAAGACAGCAGATTCCCCCACACACACACAATTTTCTAGCACATATACAAATAATTTAACATTTTTCACAGCAGGGAGTCTCCTGGATGTTTAAAGACTAATATATTTTGACAGGGCTCTTTTTGTAGAAAAAGCCCAGCAGGAACTCATTAGCATAATAGGCCACACCCAACAGCAGGAACTCATTAGCATATTAGGCCACACCCCGGACGCAAGCTCATGTTACCAGAAGTGTGGTTATCCATCCACACCCACCTTTTGCTTGTTATTCTGTTTACCTTGTTTGTTGTCAAGACCCAGGGCCTTTTTTTGTAGCAGGAACCCCTTTGCATGTTAGGCCACACACCCCTAATGTAGCCAATCCTAATGAGTTCCTGCTGTAGGGTGTGGCCTATTATGCTAATGAGTTCCTGCTGGGCGTGGCCAACTTGGGAGCCAGCCGGAACTCCGTTCCTGTGCGTTCCTGCCCAAAAATAGCCCTGCATTTTGACATGAGTTTGCATTGCAGAGAACTTGCTTCAGCTGAGGGCTTTTTGGTCCCTTCTAACTGAATCTTGAGTACCATGCCTTTATTTTATTTATTTTATTAAAATATTTGTGTCCCACATTTCGAGTTGGCTCAAGGCAGCTTTATTTCTGTTTGATCCTGTTATGCAAAATTCCCCCTCACTTCCACCTCTAGTCCTCTCTGTGTGTCTTTAGCTTTGCATTTCAGTGTACCCTTCATGCCTTTGCATCGGATGATTTCTTCAAAAATTGATGCAATGGTAATTTTTTTAGTTACTCTTCCAAACATTTTTTTAGTTACTCTTCCAAACGTTTTCATTTAGCAATAGCAACTGTTGTTGGGAAAGAAAGAGTTAAGTTATTATGGAGGAAAACGGTCATATATCTCTCTGCAAGTTGGTGTCACTGCAAGTTGCAGTGTAGAAACTTTTGCATTTTGGAAACTACAACCCAGGGAGTCAGATCAGACAAACATTGGCAATGAAATCCAAACCAGTTCAGAGAAGTTTTGCAGTGAATTAAAACAGATCCCAAACCTAAAGTCTCTTGGTTGCCTTGAACTTGAACGGAATCCTTTAACCAAAATAACAATGTTAGCAAGTACAAATAACGTTAAAAATCAGGCACTCGGAAGACTATTCAAAGTGGTAGGGACTACCTACTACAGTGGTATTTGGGGAAAGTGTTCTTCCCAGGAAACCATCTAAAAAGAAGAGGAGAAGCAAGAGAGATTGGTAGGCAAGGGATAGGACCGGTAGTCCTCCTGAGGCCCGAGGACAAGCTTGCTTACCCACAGGTTGCTGCCCACCTAATCAGAATAAGTTATTTTCTTTTTACAAACTCAACATGGTTTGGGAAGAAAAGACAGAAAGGTAGTTATGGCTGTTTAGGGCTGCCATGCCTCCTGCCGTCTCCAAATCTAGTTGCGTGCAATCACTCCAAGCAGCAGTGGGAGATATATTTTTTTAAATATGACCCTTCTGGGGAAAACCTGGAAGTGACATAGGGTGGCTCTAGGAATCTCCAGAAAATCTATGGTAAAACCATATCGAAAAAACCAGTTTTCTCTGGAAGTGATGTAGCAACATAGAGGTCTGACAGCACTGGAGCTGATGTTTAAAAGTAGGAGGAGGAGCTATGAGACTGTATAGAGGGAAATGGAACTCAATTTGAAATTGGGGTGGTGACGTTAAGATAGTGTTTAACTGTTTTAATTGTAATAAATGTTTTGCACTGGGCATCCCTGAATGACTGGGTCTACAGTTCTCTTTTTTCTACTAGCTTAAGAGGAGACTTTCTTCCCAGAACAGCATATGAAAAATAAAAGTTTGCATATGAAAAAAGTTTGGGGCAAATGCAGTACCATTGGGGGGAGGGGGGACTTCCGTTCCTTCCTTCTTAAGGTCTGAGGGAACAAAGAAACAAAATGGAGTAGATCAGAACTAGAAAGACGGAGTTAGTTAGACTTCTTGTTGTTTTCTTTCCATGTAATCTTTTCCCCTAATTTTGAAGAACACTTTTTCTTAGAAGTTAAACACACATGTTTCTGTGCTGCATGATTCCGTTGTGCTTCATTTACACTGCTAATTATCCAACAGGGTGAACTAGAACCAAACCCAAATTTTTAATGCTTTGATTCCCTGATACAGCCCGTGTCCATATTATCAGAGATGCCTACTGCAAATTTCCTAATGTTCATGTGCAGATACTTCAGAGTAGCTTGGGATGAAACAGTAATGTAAATGAGTCCTTTTAAAGATTAAGACAAGCGTCTAAAAATCCTCCAAGGATTACCCGTTAACTATCTTTTCCTTGTTTTGCAGCATGTCTCTCCACTCATAGGACGTTTTGTTCCTTTTGCTGCTGTAGCTGCTGCTAATTGCATAAATATCCCATTAATGAGGCAAAGGTAAGGAATAGCATGTGGCCCATTACAGGGCTCCCTGGCCACTGGTAGCACCTGCACACTTGGCCTTACCTGTTTTGGAAGGCTGGCAGCAACCCCAAGACTAGCATTCATGCACTAGAAAGAAGAAGAAGAGGAGGAGGAGGAGATTGGATTTATACCCCGCCCTTCACTACCCAAGGGAGTCTCAGAGCGGCTTACAAACTCCTTTCCCTTCCCCTCCCCACAACAGACACCCTGTGAGGTAGGTGGGGCTGAGAGAGCTCTGACAGAAACGGCTCTTTTTCAAGAACAGCTGTGCCAGAACTACGGCTTGCCCAAGGTCATCCAGCAGGTGCAAGTGGAGGATTGGGGAATCAAACCCAGTTCTCCCAGATTAGAGTCCGCGCACTTAACCACTACACCAAACTGGGTCCCTTTACTCATACTTCAAATTATTGATTGGCCAACAGCTTGGAAGGCTTTAAAATAGGAATAGACAAATTCATGGAGAATATTTATTTATTTATTTATTTATTTCTGCTTATATCCCGCCTTGCCTGACAAGCAGGCTCAAGGCGACTTACAGTGAGTTAAAATTACAACAAAACACAGATAAAATTCCAACCATGATATATAAAGTGCAGATTAAGTACAAATAGCAAAGTGCGGATGGCAATCATTGTAAGATGGTCCAGAATGACTAGACCAGTATCCCCAGTAGAGCGCCAGTAGCGTGCTGGCCATAATAGATTATTTCAGTAGCTCATTCATCAGTGGCGGCTCCTAGTCAAAGGCCTGGTGGAAGAGCTCCGTTTTACAGGCCCTGCGGAACTGTAAAAGGTCCCGCAGGGTCCTGATGTTTTCCAGGAGCTCATTCCACCAATGTGGAGCTGCCACTGAGAAGGCCCTAGATCTGGTGATGGCCAATCTGGTATCCTTTAGACCGGGGAGAGTCAGGCGGTTTTGGTCCCCAGCCTCATTGCTCTCTGGGGGACATGTGGGGAGCTATTAATTGCTATTAGTCACAATGTCTGCTAGCCATAATGGCTATCTGCTCCCTCAAGTACCAGGGGCAGTATCCTTTATATCAGTTGCTAGGGAAATGGACAGGAAGAGCTGTTGCAGTCATTCTACTCATGGCTTTCCTAGAGGGTAAGAGGGTCTGGTCTAGTGTGGCTCTTCATATGTTCTTAGGAGTATGCAGGGCTCTTTTTGTAGCAGGAACTCCTTTGCATATTAGTAGCCCCTGTAAGAAGAGCTCTGTAAGCTCTTGGAGGATTGGCTACATTAGGGGGGTTTGTGGCCTAATATGCAAAGGAGTTCCTGCTACAAAAAGAGCCCTGATTGAATTTAGAGTAGGGGCTTTAATTAAAATTGTCAAAATAGTAACAGAGTGGCACATACGGAATTCTTAAGAATAAAAATAAAACAAAATAGTTATTCATCTGGTTTCCTCTCTCTTTTTAAAATTCTGACAGGGAATTAAAGCATGGTATTCCCATTACAGATGAAAATGGAAACCGACTGGGTGAATCCACCAAAGCTGCTAAACAAGCCATTCTGCAAGTGGTCGTCTCCAGGATTCTTATGGCTGCTCCGGGCATGGGTTAGTTCGGTTTCCATTAAGCATAATGCTCATGTTGGTTGTAATACAGTCTTTTCTTCCATGCATAACCCTTGGTGCTTGTTAGACTGCCACTGTGCCAGGTATGCAAATGGCTGCCCTCATCTCTAAAGGGTAGTACTGTAGGCAGGGCTCTTTTTGCAGCCAATCCTCCAAGAGCTTACAGAGCTCTTCTTACAGGGGCTACTGTAAGCGCTTGGAGGATTGGCTACATTAGGGGTGTGTCGCCTAATATGCAGAGGAGCTCCTGCCACAAAGAGAGCCCTGACTGTAGGCATGGGAAAGAATGAGATGTCACAGGCCGCTAGGTGAGAGTCAGCCCCATAGCCAGGGGTCATTTCCTGCAGGAGCGCATAGGAGCGGAGCTCCGGCAGTAAAGTGCCCAGGGGGCGGGCACATGCAAGTAGCCCCACCCCCTGCTCCCAGCAGCCCTCAGTCAGAGCAAGAAGCAGCCAAGTAAGTTGCAGAGCCCCCCCCGGCCCCCCAGCCCAAAACAGTCCAGTGGCACCTTTAAGAATAAGTTTTATTCAGGTACAAGCTCTCCCTCCTCTGCGAGGACAGATCTGCACGTTCCCCCCCCCCCCCATAGCTAGCAATCCAAAACAGTCCAGTGGAGCCTGAGCGGTGGGTGTTGCCTTCTGACACACTTCCGGTGATGTCAGGGGGTGTGGCATATGCAAATAAGTTATGCTAATGAGTTATGCTAATGAGCTCCTGCACCTCTTTTTCTACGAAATGACCCCTGCCTAGAGCCATACATTTTCCAGGAGGCAAAGTGGGGGTAGTTTTGCATGTCGGCTAATTTAATTAACTGAGTTTAATTCAGACCAGTCTTCAAACCAGTCACAGCTCAAACCTCCCTTCCCTGCCCTGTCTCAGCGGCCCGGAGGCTTGCGCAGAGCGTGCTGCGTCGGAGTGTCCGAGGGAGGAGGAGAGGTGGGGGAAATGGTAGCCGTGGTGTGGGTGGCTGCCCCCGCTCCTCTCCACAGCCGAGGAGGAGACCCAAACACGCCCCCCACCAAGGGAAGTTGTGCCGAGCCCATTTCACCACCCGCCGCTACAGTCAGGGCTCTGCAGCTCCTACCTCAAGTGCAAGTGGGGAGAGCCCAACGCAGGACCGGGGAAGAGCCCGTGATCATGGCCCACCACCTCTGCGTCCTCCTCTGGCTGTGAAGAGGGAGGGGCAGCCACCGGTCTCACTGCTCCCCTCCCGGCCAGCAACCCCAGTCTCCCTCCGCCTCCCGGGGGACGGGGGACGGGGGACCCCGAGAGGAGGAGGACTGGGAGGGGTAGGGCAAATTCAGGAGGGGACCTCACCCCAAAGGGGGCGTGGCTACAAGCCTGGTGAGCGTGCAGTTTGGCCTCTGTTTGTATCGGATTGCCTGACTGCATCAGATGAGTTGTTTTGTTCAAAATGTCTTTGTTTGATGGCATTCATTGTTTAATCATACTGCAGGATTTTCAGCCGAGGCTCCCAGTTAGAGAACTCTCCTTGAACTATTGTTTCCACTAACGACAGAATGATTTTCTGACAATTATAAATCCAAAGTCATTTTGTTCCTCTTCCACCAATATAAATCTATTTGCTGCAGTTACTCGTCCTTGGTCATTTGAGGTATCTTTCACGTATACTTAATCTGATGGGCTGTATAATAATGGAAGACGTTTTGTTAAGGAGCTGCACATTAAGCTAAATGGGGAACAGAAGCTGTGTGATAGTTTAAAGGTAAAGGTTCCCTTGCTCGAAAGCCAGTCGAATCCGGCTCTAGGGTTGCGGTGCTCATCTCCGTTTCCAAGCCGAAGAGCCAGCGCTGTCCGAAGATGTTTCCGTGGTCATGTGGCCGGCATGACTAAACACCAAGGCGCACGGAACGCTGTTACCTTCCCACCGAAGTGGTACCTATTTATCTACTTGCAATTTCTTGCTTTCGAACTGCTAGGTTGGCAGGAGCTGGAACTAGAGACGGGAGCTCACTCCGTCATGCGGCACCAAGGTCTCGAACTGCTGAACTACCGACCTTCCACAGCCGGCAGTTCAGCGTCTTAACCACTTGAGCCACCACAAGCTCCTGTTTATTACAGCCCAAATAACAGAGTCTAGTAATACCTTAAGACTATCTAAGTCTTACCTTAAGACCATCACCACCATTGTGCAACTGCAGAGCAGTTCCGCCGGGTTGGGCTGATTAGCCACCCGGAACATCTTGGCCCATGGCATCCCCCCCCCCTTTTTTGATCTCACTGTGACAGACAATAGTGAGTGAGTATTTTAGTCGCTGATGTATCCTGTAAGATGTGAAATTTTGCCTTAAGTGCTTAACCTGTTTTATTTTTATCGCACTTTGGTGCCTTAATTGTTTTAATCTTGTTGTATTTTATTGCACTGTTGTGCCTGTGTAAGCCGGCCTGAGCCCGCGTGCGGGGTGGGCGGGATATAAATGAAATGAAATTAAATAAATAAATAAATAAATTTTATTGTCACACAAACTTTCATGAGCTTTCAGGTGGGTTTTTGGTGTTGGAACTTTAAGTGAAAATCTTTCTGCCGATTGAACATAACACTCGGTTTGCCTGATGAAGTAGGCAACGGCTGGTAAAAGCTGCTGCCAGAGTAGAAGAAGAGAAGAAGGAGATTGGATTTATACCCCGCCCTTCACTACCCGAAGGAGTCTCAGAATGGCTTACAAACTCCTTTCCCTTCCCCTCCCCACAACAGACACCCTGTGAGGTAAAAGAAGAAGAAGATGATATTGGATTTATACCCCACCCTTCACTACCCAAAGGAGTCTCAGAGCCGCTTACAAACTCCTTTCCCTTCCCCTCCCCACAACAGACACCCTGTGAGGTAAAAGAAGAAGAAGAAGATATTGGATTTATACCCCGCCCTTCACTCGGAGTCTCAGAGCGGCTTACAAACTCCTTTTCCCTTCCCCTCCCCACAACAGACACCCTGTGAGGTAGAAAGAAGAAGAAGAAGAGATTGGATTTATACCCCACCCTTCACTACCCAAAGGAGTCTCAGAGCGGCTTACAAACTCCTTTTCCCTTCCCCTCCCCCTGTGAGGTAAAAGAAGAAGAAGAAGATATTGGATTTATACCCCACCCTTCACTACCCAAAGGAGTCTCAGAGCGGCTTACAAACTCCTTTCCCTTCCCCTCCCCACAACAGACACCCTGTGAGGTAGAAAGAAGAAGAGATTGGATTTATACCCCACCGTTCACTACCCAAAGGAGTCTCAGAGCAGCTTACAAACTCCTTTCCCTTCCCCTCCCCATGCTGTGAGGTAGGTGGGGCTGAGAGGGCTCTGACAGAAACTGCTATTTTTCAAGAACAGCTGTGCCAGAACTATGGCTTGCCCAAGGTCTCAGAACCTAAAAAGGTTAGTCAAGAATAGAAGAGGGCCAACTCTAAAAATCTAATTCTGAAACATACAAAAATATACATGTATTTATTCAACACAAATTAAAATAACAAGCAAGGGCCCATTCATACCTCATATACAAATATAAAAACATACAAGGGCTAATGAAATAGACCTAATGCGTTTCGGCCTTTACAGGCCTTCCTCAGAGGTCTAATACAAACAGAACATGTTGGCTGATATGTAAATATATATACAATCGTACATATACAAAATATGGAATAAAGACCAGAAAACAATTGTTCCAAAGTTTAACCACTGGGCAAAGAAAAGAAATACAAAAATACAAATGAAGCCTCCAGTGCAATCACATGTTCAGTAGTACTTCTCTCTGGTCAACTATATATTCTCCTGAGATTGTACAGCCTTGTTTGTTATTTTAATTTGTGTTGAATAAATACATGTATATTTTTGTATGTTTCATAATTAGATTTTTAGAGTTGGCCCTCTTCTATTCTTGACTAATCTTTTTAGGTTCTGAATTCTAGGTTTTAGGTTCAGTTTTCTTCCCTTTTCTCTTTTTTGCCCAAGGTCTCACCAGCAGCTGCATGTGGAGGAGTGGGGAATCAAACCCAGTTCTCCCAGATTAGAGTCCATGCACTTAACCACTACACCAAACTGGCTTAATTGGCCTTCATATCAGGGATACTTTTTCTTTTGTGAAGCATACTAAATATGCTCCAGAAGAGATGGAATGTTGGAAGCAACTGGGTGCCAAATAAAGGGAGAAAGCACATGTTGTGTGAGGGTGAGGGATCACTCTGTTCTTGGAGAGGAAGATTTTGGGGAATGATGTTCCTCACAGGGTGCGTTCAGATGGGCAGCTAATACCACAGTTGGCCTGGCTCTAATTTGATCCTGATCTTTTTTATCCGGCATTGCATGACCAGTCAGCTCTCCTTACTGCGCGCGTACTCCGTGGTGGATTGTCTAGACAGCATCCACCTGAAGGAGCCGCGTGGTCGGGTTTTTAAAAAAAAATCTGTTTGTGAATGCGCATCCGCACCTCAATGTGTACTTGCTTTTCTGCGCATGTGCGGAGTTGAATGATTAAAGCACCGCCAGTGGTACTTCTCTCTAGGTACCTTTTTAATTAATGCAGTTCATAAAATTCACGGTCCATTTAGAAACATGAAATTGTCCGGAACATTTGAGCGGAGCTCCGTGACTGTCCCGCATTTACACGTTTATGCGCATATCGCTAAGAATGTTTTTAAAATGGTGCCCACTCGCGCTGGTCTGACATCAGACCATCCCGACGGGAGGATTTTGCGCTGGAATAATCAGATGGGGGAAAGTCTGCAATTGGCCTGTCGGGAAGCGAAAACTCCAGATTTTAACTAGTATCTTTTAAGTACAGCTCCGAAGCGCGGCAAAACGGGAGGCTCACGGAACAGGCACATTTCCCAGATGTTGCTGTCTGGCCATGACCTTTAAATCCGCCAGGCACTCATGCCTGGCGCTGATCTAAAAACCCGTCTGATCAGGACCACAGTCTCACATCTTGTTCCCCTTCTCATGGCAGAAGAAAGTCTATCAAGGAATATACTGTTGTAAACTTCTAGATATGATTTGTTAAGTTTTAACCATGTGACTTTTATTTCCTTACTTCATAGCTATTCCCCCCTTCGTAATGAATACTTTGGAAAAGAAGGCATTTTTAAAGGTAAGCCTATATTGCTAAATATCTACTCATTTGCTTATTACAGATAATTACCAGAAGGATGTTGTTTTGGTAAACTGACCTCATATGGCAGAGAATAGTTCAAGGAGTTTACATTTCCAGTTATTTTTTATGTTCTGTTCAGGGAACTGTTGTTTGTGCGTACAATTAGAAAAGATGTGAAAGGTTAAGAACATAAGAGAAGCCAATGTTGGATCAGGCCAATGGCCCACCCAGTCCAACACTCTGTCACACAGTGGCCAAAAATACCAGGTGCCATCAGGAGGTCCAGCAGTGGGGCCAGGACACCAGAAGCCATCCCACTGTTGCCTCCCCCAAGCACCAAGAATACAGAACATCCCTTGCCCCAGCCTGAGAGTTCCCATCTATACCTTGTGGCTAATAGCCACTGATGGACCTTTGCTCCATATGCTTATCTAATCCCCTCTTGAAGCCGTCCATGCTTGTAGCTGCCACCACCACCTCCTGTGGCAATGAATTCCATGTGTTAATCACTCTTTGGGTGAAGAAGTACTTCCTTTTTTCTGTTCTAACCCAACTGTTCAGCAATTTCATTGCGTGCCCACGAGTTTATTTATTTATTTATTTATTTCATTTATTTCATTTATACCCCGCCCTCCCCGCACGCGGGCTCAGGGTGGCTTACAAAACACAGAGGTGTAATACAACACCACAAGTTAAAAACAATTAAGGCACGTAGTGCAATAAAATACAGTTAAAACAGTTTAAACACAGTGGACAACTCCCAGGATCCATCGCGACTAGTATGCTCACTCCCTAATGTACATCACATTGGGGTCAATGAGAGGGATGCCGTGTGCCACGATGTTCAGGTGACCAATCAGCCCAACCTGGCGGTACTGCTCTGCGATCACCTATTGGTGGTAGTGGCGGCGGTGACTCCTATTCGAAAGCCTGGCAGAAGAGCTCCATCTTACAGGCCCTGTGGAACTGTAACAGGTCCCGCAGGGCCCTGATGTCCTCCGGGAACTCATTCCACCAGATAGGAGCTGCCACCGAAAAGGACCTGGCCCTTGTGGCAGCAAGCCTGACCTCCTTAGGGCCTGGGGTCACTAGGCGGTGTTGTGACCCCGACCGAAGTGCTCTTTGGAGCCTGTATGGGGAAAGGCGGTTCCTCAGGTAAGCCGGACCCTGGCCATGTAGGGCTTTAAAGGTAAGCACCAGCACTTTGAAGCGAATCCGGAATGCTATAGGCAGCCAGTTCTTGTATTGTGAGAAAGGGAGAAAAGTACTTCTTTCTCTACCTGCTCTATCCCATGCATAATCTTATAAACCTCGATCATGTCACCCCCTCAGCCGTTGTTTCTCCATTTAATGATTCAGCTGGGAAAATTAGATCCACGTGTCCAGTAACAAGGGGGTTGTCTGCTGATTAAAGCATGTGTGGTAAATAGTCAAGATATTTGCAAATGCATACCTTGGTCTTCAAAGCTCTCAAGTGAGTGCAAGGATTTAAATCAAGTCGTGTCCACGTGCAACAGCTGCCACATCAAAGTTGCTTCATATTGTTCCCTATGGCAAGATGCTTCATGCAGAAAGCTATTTGTGGACGACATGAATGACAGCAAAAAATTTTCCTTGTTTTGTTTGAGGAGAGGTCCATAGCAATATCCAGAAAAATGGATTGATCTGCAGTTTGCCTACAAGTGATGTGTAGCACCCATTTCTTACGCACAGGCACATGTTTTATACACACACAAAAAACCCCTTTATTGGCATTGAAAGCACAAGACATCATGGAAATACAGCAGAATACTATGACGCATCAGTCACTCACACTTGGCTATTCAAGCCTCGTCTTCTGATTGCATAATATAAAGATTTTGTAACAGCCTCCATTATTTCGCAATTAGAATTAAACAGAAGAAAGTGAACAATTGAGTAATCAGAATGCCGGCTCTTACCCTCTAGAAATGGAGTAATAAAACCAGATCAAATATCCCTATAAAGGGGGCAATGAAGTATGGTGTGTGTAGTGGATTCTATATCTTTTAGATAACAAGGACAAAGTCTGTCTACATATGGTATCTGGCGGTACCTCCGACGGCAGAACGTTAAAGCGTGCAAGCATGTATGCTCTGCGATGGTGTGAGGCTGTTAAACTTAACAGATATTTCGCAGTAGAGCCCATGTCAAAAGTCCCCAGCCTACTTGGGGAGCATCTGCTGGCTGCGCGTTCCCTAAGTTCTTGCCTTTCGATGTCGAGAAATCTTTGTTTAATAATAGCATAGGCTTGTTTATCTGAAAAGGGGGCTAAGTAATTCGGGGATATTCCCATCGTAGAGAGTTTCTCCTCTACATATCTAAGCCATGGAGAGAGATGGGACTCAGTTAACACATGTTTTGTACTTCTCATGACAGTGGACAAAAGGGCAGCAGTTCGTTTATTTATTTATTGTTTCTATTTGTATCCCGCCTTGCCGGACACGCTGGCTCAAGGCGGCTAACAGGATTAAAATATCACAGAACAATACAGAGTTATAAAAGAGTTAAAAATACAATACAAAATTAAACAACATCAGTTAACAGATGAAAAAGACACGCTAATGATGGCGGTATTCCAAATCAGCCCAATGGTAGTCATAGCATCCATTAGGGTCCCAGGCCAGAAGATGTTCCAGGGCACATTCGTCAGTGGCGGCTCCTAATCGAAAGCCTGGTGGAAGAGCTCCGTCTTACAGGCCCTGTGGAACTGTAAAAGGTCCCGCAGGGCCCTGATGTCCTCCGGGAGCTCATTCCACCAGTGTGGGGCCGCCACTGAGAAGGCCCTGGCTCTGGTAATAGTCAGCCTGGCTTCTTTCGGACCAGGGAGGGTCAACCGGTGTTGCGACCCTGACCTCAGTGCTCTCTGGGGCACGTACGGGGAAAGGCGGTCCCTCAAGTAGGCAGGCCCCCAACCATATAGGGCTTTCAAGTAGGGTTGCCAAATGGGGCCGGGAATCCCCCGCTTTGGAGGCCCGATTTCTGCCCCGGCGGAATCGGGCCCCGGGGGGAACTCTGCCCCCGAAACTGCGTCACCAGAGGTGACGCAGCCACACCACTCACGTTGGGGGCGGGTTCCCCCCCCGACGATCTGGGCCACGCCCCCAACGTGAGTACGTAGCACGTCACTTCTGGTGACGTGTTGCCGGCGCGCGCCTCCGCCGAGAACTCCCGGAGCCCGGCGAGGCTCCCCCGCTGCGAGGGGTAAGTAGACTTGGCAACCCTACTTTAAAGGTTAGAACCAGCACCTTGAACCGAACCCAGTACACTATAGGCTGCCAGTGCAGCGTCCTCAGCGCAGGCTGGATATGGTCCCGTCACAGCGTCCTCCAGCACAGGCTGGATAGGGTCCCATCAACAGCCTGGTCGCGGCATTCTGCACTAGCTGCAGCTTCCGGATCTGAGACAAGGGCAGCCCCATGTAGAGAGCGTTGCAGTGAACCAACTGCCTAATCAGCCATAGATGGTAGAAGGCCGCCTTGGCAGTGGCTGCCACCTGGGCCTCCATTGTTGAAGCATCCAGGAGCACTCCCAAGCTCGTAACCTTTGGCGCTGGCACCAATGGTGCCCCACCGAAGGTCGGTAGTGGGATACGTATCTCCGACCCGCTCCAACTCAAGCACAGGACCTCCGTCTTCGTTGGATTCAATTTCAATCGACTCGGTCCACCGGCATCACATGTTGTGGTTGGTGACACTGGGAATTTGGGAATTATGGAAGCCAAACCTCCCCAGATGGAAAATCTGGGGACTGTAGCTTTGGAGACATTCCAGTGAGAGTATTCATTAGTTCTTCTTACAGGGGCTACTGTAAGCTCTTGGAGGATTAGCTACATTGGGGGTGTGTCGCCTAATATGCAAAGGAGTCCCTGCTACAAAAAGAGCCTTGGCTTTGAGGGTACACTGCAAGAGACTTTGTGTTCTCTACAAGTCTTCAGTTCTTAAGTTTCCCAAAGCATAGGCTTACTGTTCTGTAGTTCATTGCCCCAGGGTGGTGCGTAATCTCTCAGTCAAACTCTTCAAACATACTCTTGTTTCCTCTTCGTTAAAAATAATCTCTCCCTTCTCCTTCTGTATAAAGCAATCATCTGTATTTGCTGCAAAAAATTTTCTCTTTCATTGCCTTTCATCAAGGTTTTCTTAAATCAAGGTTGGTTTTCTTAGATCACTGTTTTCTTAAATGTACACTTCTATAGAACATTCTGGAACTATCAGGGAAAACTATCTGCTGTCCAAAAATTTCAAGAAAATAAATTGTCATTTTTCTGCCACCGTGGCTCTCTCTCATCTTTCAGTACAAAAGCTATCATTCCATGCTCATTCCATTTTCCCATTAAGTGTTTAACTATACTGCTCCCAATTTCAACAGCAATTCAGGGGGATGCTTTTCACTGAAAAATCTTAATTGTGCATATTGGCTGCGGTGTACAATTCCAACTAGTTCACTCAATTACATGTAAACTTTGTATGTCTTTTGGCATGAATACTTGGTTTTAGTAAGAATCCAACATACAGAATCTGAATAGTCAGTTTTATTACCATTCAATTCCAACTAGAATTCTTATTCTTTTTTATATTAGTTTTTGCAAACTTGTTTGATAATGTAACAGTAACCAGGATTTAAACTATGTGAAACAATTCATAGTTTTTACATTTTAATTTTTTGAGATAGCTAGGGCTGCCAAGTCCTCTGGGGGGGAGGAGGTTTTCCCACCGAAAGGGCCCCCAACCCGCCAGTCTGGATCAGGCTGGGGGGGGAACCCCGCCCCCAAAGTGCCCAGTTCGGGCCGACGTGCCCGGCACGATGACGTCACCCGGAGGTGATGTCATTGCGCCAGGCACATCGTTGGCCAACACTCTAGCAATCAGCCTGAAAACTCTATGGTACCATAGAGTTTCCAGGCTGATTGCTAGAGCGTCAGCCAACAACGCGCCCATTGTGATGACGTCACTTCCAGGTGCGTGCGTGCAAGCGAATCTCCCGGACCCGGACTGGGTCTCCCCCACTGCCAGGTAAGTGACGTGGCAACCCTAGAGATAAGCTATTCTTTATGGACAAAAATAAGAGAATGAGAATAAGTTGGAGGCATTTGTGGTATCAGAATTTTTCTGAAAGTATAAAAACTAACGGGCGGTAGATGGCGCTGCAGGCCACCTACAGGTAACTACATTCTGTAGGCATGCTATCTTTCCTCTGAGATTCTCTTTTTTACAATTTTTTGTACCAAATATCCAAAACTCTTTTGCGAATTTAAAATGCAGCTTGCAACAGAGTCTTTTTACGTTGTTTATATTGTTTCAATAATCCCCTGAAACTGTCTTGCTGTGTTCCATTTCTACCATAGATGTATACATTCTCTTGCCCTGTTCCAAATTCCAGTACATATCATCTGAGGTGCCATAAATGATCTGAAGCAGTTATCCCTTAGAGTAAGGCATACTGAAAATTGTGTCAAAACAGTAGCTCTGTATGTCTTCTGGTGCTTTATAGCCCTTTGCAACTTACTCATGGAAGTCTGAACTTCCCTACGGCCATTCACAGTTAGTGCATTATGTACCGTATTACCAAAAAGATTCCCTTCTTTTGGACTGTACCAATGCTTCAAGTTAATAAAGGGTTTTTTCCCCTGAAAATATTTGATCTTCCCGCTTGCAAGAAAGCTTCCTTGCAAGTTATGATAGAACAGGGGGATTACCTATTTTTGCTTTGCTTTGCATAGAATATTTTAACTATCCCATTGCTATTCTGATCTGTAGCACAGTGTACAGTTTTGCCATCCTGAAAACTCCACAGCTACTTATACAAATTAAAAATAGCATCAGTACAAGAGATTCTCCTACTGCTAACTTTTCAGTGTACTTGACTCTAGTAATGTACAGTTCTGTAGGTATTTGGGCATTACATGTAACTCTTGTGGCAAATGGATTACTCAGCTGCCTTATGCACAAGTAAAAACTGGACAGTCTCCTTGAGCAATTACTTATGTCTGTTATGTCAAAGTTAAACAATATATTCCTGCCACAGTTCATATTTACAGAGACAAAGGGATGCCTCAGTTACTCTATGAGATACTTCTCTGGCTAGATGTTTGTAATCTAAACATAAAAAGGTAAAGGTAAAGGTTCCCTTGCTCAAAAGCCAGTCGAGTCCGACTCTAGGGTTGCAGTGCTCATCTCCGTTTCAAAGCCGAACAGCCAGCGCTGTCCGAAGACGTTTCCGTGGTCATGTGGCTGGCATGACTAAACACCAAGGCTCACGGAACGCTGTTACCTTTCCACCGAAGTGGTACCTATCTACTTGCCATTTCTTGCTTTCGAGCTGCTAGGTTGGCAGGAGCTGGAACTAGAGACGGGAGCTCACTCTGTCATGCGGCACACTCGGGTCTCGAACTGCTGAACTACCGACCTTCCACAGCCTGCAGTTCAGCGTCTTAACCACTTGAGCCACCGCAGCTCCATTTATGATCTGGTGCATTGTACCAAATGCTGTTAGCCGCCCTGAGCCTGCTCGCGGGGAGGGCGGGATATAAGTGTTGATAAATAAATTAAATAAATTGCTGATGTTTTATTAACAGAAGATTGTTAACGGCAGGCCCTAAGAGTCAGCGATGCTGACAGTTGCCAAACAGTAAACCATATATTTAATTTTGCCTGGACTGTGTACTCATCTTTTAAAAGTGCTCTGTCCAGCCCTGACCAGTGTTCCCTCTAAGCTGAGTTAGTGTGAGCTAGCTCACAGGTTTTTAGCCTCCGGCTCACACATTTCTGTCTCAGCTCAGGAAGGATGGGCTCCAGAGCAAACTAATTTATGCAGCAGCCAAATCACTTGCTCACAGCTTTAGTGCCAGTAGCTCACAAAGTAGAACGCTACAGCTTAGAGGGAACATTGGCCCTGACCTGGATAGCCCAGGCAAGCCCAATCTCATCAGATCTTGGAAGCTAATCAGGTCCGACCCTGGCGAGTACTTGGAAGGGAGACCTCCAGGGAATACCAGGGTTGGGAGGGAGAGGCAGGCTATCAAGCCACTTCTCTGAACGTCCTCCATGCCCCAGTGGGAGTTGCCAGAGGTCGCCATGACTTCCAGGCACGGGCGCACACGCGCACGCACACACAAAATGCAAAAATATCCCCCCCCCCAAAAAAGGGCTCTATCCAAAATCTCCAGCAGTGTATATGCAGTGAAGTAAAAACATGTTTACACCATTTACCATTTTGTTTTTGACACAGCGGTTCCCATGGATGAGTGCCCCCATTCAAGTGGGATTAGTTGGGTTTTGGTGAGTAAAAAAATTCAAAGCTTGTTTGAGTATTTACACACACACACACACACACACAATGTTTACTTTTGGGCTCTTTTTGTAGCAGGAACTCCTTTGCATATTAGGCGACACACCCCTAATGCAGCCAATCCTCCAAGAGCTTACAGAGCTCTTCTTACAGGGCTACCGTAAGCTCTTCGAGGATTGGCTACATTAGGGGTGTGTCGCCTAATATGCAAAGGAGCTCCTGCTACAAGAAGAGCCCGAAGTTTTAACACTACATGACAGACTCAAAAACTCTGAACTAGTGAGACTGTCCAAGTCTCATTAAGCGTAGGGCAAATAACACTGAGCAAGTGAAGTAATAACATTTTCTGAACCAGTTACTGGGAGCAAGGCAAAACAAAAAAAGCAACGAAAAAAATCAGGCCTCAAAGATAAGACAGGATTGAGGTTCAGATATCTAGTTGACCTCATCTGGGGTTTGGGGTCAAAGAGAGCAAACAAACAATTGAGGAGAAAGGCCATGTAGGTCCACAGCATGCGTAGATGGAAAGGTCACGTTAGGAGAGAGAGGTTGAATCTGCATTTGCCTTTCCCACCCGTGTCCCAGCCTTCTGACTCCGTCTTAAAAAAAGCTGCCTACATTTGGTTTCGTTTTCACACCTCAACAGTGCTAGCATACTTTTGTATGTCTGCATATCTTTATCGCCCTCTCGTGGCGGCTCTGCTGTCATTGCGCCTCGACACTGCTTTAAATGAATCTTCTCCAAACAACATTCAAACAAGCATAGAGAAAGACGGCGTCACAGCAGCACGAAGCTGATTTAAAAATGCAAATGCAGATTCGACCAGAGACTGAAGTGAAACAAAAGCCTTGAGAAATGCCTCCCTAACCCCAACCCTCCTAACACTGGCAATGAGCAAAAGGGATATGGTGTTGCACTTATTGGGTGGTAAAGGGATATACGGTTGTTTCCAACAAAGCCCAGGCAACCCCATTGATCCACCCCAAAGGAGACTTGCCTTATAATTTAAGGACAATTGCTGCAAGTAACTTAAGTTATTGTTTGTCTTTTCCAGTTTGGTGTTTGCAACCCCTTTATGCTGTGCATTATTTCCTCAAAAAAGGTACTGCATGTTTTTCATAGTATTGTTTCTGTTAACGTTTTGTGCTGCTCAAGGACCATTCTAATAAAGATTGCTGTCATTGTCTCTATGGCAAGAGCGGCAGTTGTGCAAAGTAACCCACAGAAGTAGATGAAGACATGTGCCCTGCTTTTTAAAAATCTCCTCAGTTCAGCCAGAAGTCACCTGTCTGCACCTAAAAAAGATCCAAGTCATAAGCTTCAGGAAGTAGTTGGCGATTAGTAAGCTCTTAGTACAGCTCACACTGGGCATCCAGAGGGTCTGGTCACTGCCTTTCTCAGGCCCCTATAATTTTTCTCTCTTCCACTACCACTACCAACCATTGTGTTTTAATGTTTAATGTTTTAAACTGAAACTGTATTTGTTTCAATGATGTTGCCCGCCCTGAGCCCGCCCGTGGGAAGGGCAGGATATAAATGAAAATAATAAATAAATTATTTATTTATTTATTTAATTTTATTTATACCCCGCCCTCCCCGCATGCGGGCTCAGGGCGGCTTACAACCATATGGCACAAAGTGCAATAAAATACAATAAAACAGTTTAAAACAATTTATACGTGGGCCACGCCCAAGGATCCCGCGTGACTAAAACCCTCTCTCCATATTGCACATACCCTTTTCATTCCAGGGGAGGTTACTGTGGCCCCCTGATGTTATTTGCCATTTGACCTCCGGCGGTGCTGTAAAACTGTCCCCATTGGTGGTGGTGGTGGTAGCGGCGGCGGCTCCTATTCGAAAGCCTGGCAGAAGAGCTCCATCTTGCAGGCCCTGCGGAACTGCAACAAGTCCCGCGGGGCCCTGATCTCCTCCGGGAGCTCATTCCACCAGATAGGAGCCGCCACCGAAAAGGACCTGGCCCTAGTGGCCGCAAGCCTGGCCTCTTTCGGGCCCGGGATCGCGAGGCGATGTAGCGACCCCGACCGAAGTGCTCTTTGGGATCTATATACTTCTGTCCCTCCTCTGCAACTTTCCTAGAAGGGTGAGACCAGAAGGGTACTTCTTCCTGTCCCTCGAACAATTCACCGCTTCTTTCGGTCTGCCCTTTTTTATTTAATGTCACTCAGACTGTGCCTCTGTCGTTTTACCTCCCTCCTAATTTTTTTTTCTCCCTTCGGCCTTTCCTGTGAGGTTTATTCTTTTTTTTTCCTTTTCCTGGATATGAACAGAGGGACGGTCCACAATTTGGATGTCCCTCTTCCTTGGAACACGAGAAGCAAAAAGTTGGGAAACGGCTTTGTGAAGGTGGGGAATTCTGTGCCCCGAATTTGTCCTTGCCTAGGCTAGGAAGCAAATTAGCCTCTCTCTTAGCCCTGGTTTTGTGTTGGGCCATGAATGCTTTTTCTCCATGGTAACTTTTCTTCTCCTTTCCTCCTGCTTGTGAGTGGAGGAGTATGTGCGTTTCTGTTCCAAGGACGTTTTCCCACCACTTGAGACAACAGCATCTTCTCTCTTAATAGAAGACATTCCTTTGCTGGAGAGGCGATCAGGGTGATCTACTGATGGTTTGCCGGTCTGGTGTAGTGCTTAAGTGCGTGGACTCTAATCTGAGAGAACCGGGTTTGATTCCCCACTCCTCCACTTGCAGCTGCTGGATGACCATGGGCAAGCCGTAGTTCTGATAAGAGCTGTCCTTGAATCTGCTTATGAGTGAAGGAGTATGTGCATTTCTGTTCCAGGAAGTTTTCCCACCACTTGAGACAACAGCATGTTCTCTCTTAATAGAAGATGTTCCTTTGCTGGAGAGGTGATCAGGGTGATCTACTGATGGTCTGCTTGGTCTTCTGTTTCAAGGATATCCTTCTGCTGATATCCCCCCCACCTCAAAAAGGAAGATCTACAATGCAGACCTAAAGGCCATTACACCCTTGTAAGCCCTTTGACTTCAATAGACTTGGAAAGGTGTGACTCTGGTTAGGAATACACCCTGCTTTCTGACTAATCAGTCTCTGCAGAGGGAATTCCATCACACCCTTTGCAACTGCATCTCTCATTCTTCTCACTACCATTCCATAGTTTTCTGTGTTCTAGTCAAAGTTTTCCTAGTTTGTTCTTCCAGACTGAGTAGGAAGCCCCTTCCCACAGGTTAGGTTATTCTTCACCTTCCCACCCCCAAGGAAAGAAGAAGAAGAAGAAGAAGAAGAAGAAGAAGAAGAAGAAGAAGAAGAAGAAGAAGAAGAAGAAGAAGAAGAAGAAGAAGAAGAAGAG